TGAAACTTTTTTTAAATTGACAAAATTTATTTAAAAAAAAATCGTTCTTGGCATCTGCCATATAGCTATGTCGTTTGCCTGGTGACAAGTATGACAAAATTCTATTTGTTAAAGAACTATATTGGCTGTATTTTTTTTACAGTTTCACAAAAAATCACTTCTACTTTCGTCACTTCATTGTCGAGATTGCTGTATTAGGAAACGAAGAAATAACTTATCTACCTACGCTAACAAATTTGAAGTCATCTTAGCACAAAATTGTGGAGAAAAAGTTCTTATTATCTTTTGGATTAGGTCGTTTACTCGTTGTGTACGTTTAGTTTGTTTTAAGATTAAATGATGGTAGGGAGATAAAATAAGATATTTTTCTTACATTATAAATGTTGTCGTGTTGACTTTAGTAGACAAATTTTAGATAAATGTTTTAGAAAAATTAATATACATAGCAACCATATGAAGCATTGTAGAGTCGATGCCTCCTACGTAATCAATCATAAGCCACAATACCTAATAGATTTTTACATTTTTTAGACGAAAATTATAAAGCGTGACAAATAAGTACATATATGTCAAATTTCGCACGCGTCGACGCACTATGTTCATTTTAGTGCTTTCAATACTTTGAACGCCCACCCGTAACATTGAGAATTTGGGCTTGTGATTCTTTATGTACGAGCTGTCGATTCTGTCCACATTTATTGTAGATATATTTGACATTTTTGTCCTGACTGAGTTAGATCTGCGCTCTTATCACCATAATCAACCTATCGCATTAAATTGCTCATGTTTGACATGTTCTTTGACGCAGGTACAAACACTACACTGTAAACATTGACTTACAAATAAACTGTAAGGTTTTTAATCAATAACTTTATAATATAAAGTGACGGGACGGACTAATCGTGTGCCTGATGTTAAGCTACACGCCTGTCATAACAGTTCCAGTGTCACTCAGAGCTTTAAATAGTAAAGGCCTGAGGGGCCTCCGGCACCCTGAGATATAAGTTGACAAGTCCCTGTAATTTCACCAAAACTTTTGTAACGATAGTGAGAAATAGGGTGGTTTGCATTAATCTTAGATATAACTGGTTGATGACTATACCATCTCAGTCAGCCGTTACCATGAGACCTGTAAAGGGACCGAAACGTTGGTTTGTTTGAAAGAAACAAATATACGTATAATATAAATATAATTAGAGCCGAAAAATTAATTTCATTTCCTGTATCTAAAGTTAGTGGAGCTATTGAAAAAATGGATTTCACATTCGTTTTTAGCCTGTTCATAGGAGTTGAAGTGGGAACTAAGGAAACTTTTTTATTAACCGACTTCAAAAAAAGGTGGAGGTTCTCAATTCATCTGTATGTTTTTTTGTATGTATGTTACGCGATAACTCCGCCATTTGTGAACCAATTTTGATGATTCTTTTCTTGTTGGAAACAAGGTACCTCAGATGTGGTCTCATTTAAATTTCAAGAAAATATTCCACCTGTAAGGTTAGCAAACTAGGGGATGAATGACTTTTGAGGTCGGTTTTTTTAACCGGTGGTTAGGTTATTAAATACCATATTTATTTTTACTCTAACATAGTTTTAAAAATAAAGTATATTCCCTTACGCTCGTATTTATGGAAATAGGCCCGTAAGTGTCCCCTCTATTGGCGGTCTATGAACCATGACTAATTTTTTGTTTACCTGACTGTTTTCAATGGTGGAAAGATTGGACCATTGTATGCACTTCCATTGTAGTAAATGTATCGGTGTGAAGGTTATTTTCTATATAGATTATTGTCGCTAAGGTTTTAGTTTCATGTTTTTAACTTTGATTTAACACCTTGTATAACTTGTTTTTATAAGAATGGATCGAATAAAGTTGGTGAAATTACAGGCACATGGGACTTGTCAACCTATGTCTCAGGGGGACGGGCGCAGTGGCAGTACCCCTCAGATCTTTGCGATTTTAAGCTCTGAGTGACATTGCACTGTTATGGCCAGGCGTGTAGCTTACCATCAGGCGCACGACTTGTTCGTCCCGTCACTTGATGTTGTAAAAAAAAGATAATCGTACTTCTTTATTTTCACTTAAAAATCTGAGTGCCATGATGAAGCATGATCATAATTTTGTATATTTACGACATTGATGCTTTAGTAAATAGGCTGTCTTTGCCTTGCTATTACATCCAGCTTAACTTATTTCCCTTCTAGTATTTGCCTACAAACTATCAAGGCATAACTCACGTTGCATTTGTCCACACTCGTATTCAACCTTAGTGTCGCTTAGACCCTTTTATTATGATTTAATGTTATTATTTTAATGTATCGGTGACTCACCCGCGGGAGAACGTCAGCATAAAAACGTAAAGTGTTTTCATGTGCTATATCGCACCCCTCATGGAAGAATGGCATAAGTGGAGTTACGTCAAAAATGTTTATTGCTCCATTAGATACAGAAAAATATAACCCACATCTTTTTCACTTTCTTTTCATTCTTGTAACTCTATCGACAAATATTGTCTACAGAGTTACAAGAATTGGAGAGGATGTAGGTTATGTTTTTCTGTATCTAATGGAGCAATAAACATTTCCAACGTAACTCCACTTATGCCATTCTTCCATGAGCGGTGCGAATATGTACGTATGTTTATAAGTACACTTTGAAGAAATGCACCATTAATAAGTTGCTTAACATCGTAATGATATTAATATTAAAATAATAGTATAATACTCCCACAAAAAAGTTAATTAGGCAAATTCAGAATTTCACGGTATATGTTGTGATGCGAACAATTATTTTCGTCGAATTTGTAAATCACGTCCTATCGTCCATTAGTATTGTAAACATTGGATCATTGGTTGTAAATAAATAAATTGTAGAGTATTTTGTTCTTACGTAGTAATATGATAACACCTAATCAGTTTTTATAATTTCATGTTAATCCTGTCAATCGTTATTTTTATGAATTTCAATGCCAGAAAATGAAGACATCAAAATAATGAGGAAATTTGATACATACTTTATTTCATAATATTCTTACCAAATCAGGTAAAAGTGAATACAAATTGAAAATATGATACCCATTATCATACTACCAAAGTTATCAGCTTACCGAGTCTTGTAGGATTGGTTACCAGCTCTTGGTATGTGGTCATATTACAGTAGGTTACTTGTGAACTGATTAAAGTGTATTAAAAAATCTGATTACTTTTGAGAAATAAGTATGCATTTATCACTCAAAACCGTTGACTTAGACGTTTAGTATTATTACTATTGTTTAGACATAAACAATACATTTTGACATAAACAATAGTTCAATTTACCGAAAGCACAAATACATGATGTCAATGTTTATTAGCAACACGGATAGTACTCTGCAGACCGTGTATGGAGGAAGAGGAACTGTATAATATATCCTACTACAATCCTCCGGCCTCGCCAACTATAGGGCGAAGTACCTTGTTGTGCCGAGCTCGCTCCCTAAAGTCGTCAGCATACGCAGGAGGATGCTGAAAGTTTTGGAGGAGCTCGGCTAGTTTTACTAGGACCCTGCACCCACCACACGTAAAATTGGCGCCAGAGCGTCGAGTTGCGGACACCAGCCCGTTATACCATGCCATAACATTGTGACGGAACTTACACGTCGAAGAATACTTTACCTATCTCTGCTGCCAAACAGTAATGTGAGCATTACTGCGTTCCGGTTTTGAATGGTAAGGGTGTTAGTGAAATTACAGGCTTCTTATGTCTCAGGGTAACGGGCGCTGTTGCAGTACCCCTCAGATCTATGCGATTTAAAGCTTTTGAGTATCATTGCGACTACTACGGACAAGTGTGTCGCTTTCCACCAGGCGCATAACTTGTTCGTCTCGTTACTTAATATCATAAAAAAAAGTTTACAACCCTTGGAAACCATGTCAAGCCCTCAACCTGCATGGGGCCCTCGTGGCAACCCTCTCTCTTATGAGATCCATGCCCATATGATTTGAACGACTTTGGACGGCCTGTTGCGAAATTGTGAAGAAATTATGTTACATTATTTAAAAATCTATACTGAGGAATAAGGGACATTCGAAACTTTAATAGAGTTTGGTGGGTATACGAGTATGAAATCGGTTCTCCGCTGCTCGCAAAATGCTGGCAGCGAACGTTTTTCCGTTCTATGGATTCCTTTATTCGTCCGTTAATATTTGAGACGTATTTTGTAGGGTTGAGTGCTTACAGACTCTCGACTTCTTTCGTCCCGCCACAATTTTGCTTGGCATCATAAAAAGAATATTTAATGCTTTATACTATCTATATATTTTAAATGCATTTTTCCGTCACAATCCCAATTGTTATAGAGATAAATAACTGTCGTTGAACAAGACATTAGTTTCAGACGAACATACCTGTCTTTCCCACAATTTTGCTTGCATAAAATCGTCTAATCTATTATGTGAGAATCCAAATTGAAACCTATCAATCTGACTGACATGAGAAATGAGCATTTTATTTGAAGACAGCCTACACCCTCTTGGAACCTACTCGCTTTCCGTCCAATGATTTATTGTATTTTACTGAATTAGTCACGTGAATTGCTACAGAATAATAAATCGTGGACGTTTTGACGTTTTTATATTTCGATGACATGATTTTTTTGAGATTTTTTTTCTTGAGGTTGTCGATTGTGCAACCGAAGACATTTCTTACTCCATATTTCAGTGTTAGATTTTCGGTAGAAATTACTCGGTAGATACAAACTTTTCGAAATTGCCTCGAGAAAAATTAATTCTGTTACCGAATGGTAACAGAATTAATTTTTCTACAAATAGAGTTTTCAAAAATAACATCAAACTTTATAAACTATTAAAGTGTAATTATAAATAATGAGTAATTTTTCACCATCTTTACGGTGTTTTAGTTCCCAGTTCAGAAACGTACCTATTCTTATTAAGCTGTATGTATTCTTTAAACTTTACGAGTGGTACAGTGTTGACACAAAGTAACAACTGTTTATTTGTTGCAGTCGAAAGCTCTCGGGCGAGTGCTGTTTGACCAGGTGTGCAGGCAGCTCCACTTACTCGAGGCCGACTACTTCGGTCTCGAGTACCAGGACGCTCACGGGACTAGGGTAAGTGTTGAATGTTTTTATTGCCATGACTTTCAAATGTTATTATCGCGGTTTGTTTACTTAATGTACATATAGCTACTTATCCTTTTCCGAACAAGACAACTTGAATCTTTAAGATCCGAATGAAACCTCAACATCTTCACTTTACATTTGAGATGTGACATAGTAGAAAGTATATCTCTCAATAATAGTGAAAGACGCAGCGTAGGAAGACCACTCGCAAGTGGGCCGATGACCTAGTGAAGTATCCGGTGGATGCGAGCAGCGCAAGACGGGATTGAAACAAAACCCAATGAATGCGGCCATATTTCCGTGAATTGAGTTATCTTAACTGATTACAGTGATCTTTTCATGCACTTTTCAACGATACTCTTTTAGATATAACCGCTTTTGTAAGTTAAAAGTTCATGTCCAGATGACGCGCATTAACTCGATTCAATCGCAGCCAGTAAACTTTTGCACACGTTCACAAGTTTAGTGGCGTGGCGCCGTAGAACCGTTTGTGAAACGCGCGTTATCTGCGTGTGAAGCTGCAAATTCGGATCGGTGGTGCGTTCAGCGGAGAGTTAGATGTATCCGTACATCTAACACAAGACACAATGTACGCGTAAACCTTGAAAGCACCACGGTTGCGAATTTGTGGCCTAAGTGATAAAGACGAGCGGGTCGCTGAATGGCGCCCCTTTCCTCAACGCGATGTTGTTGTTGAATCGATTCAAACGCGTGTGCATATATATGCTCTTACTCTCATAAAATTGCTTATGAATGAATAGTACGATCGGTGGAGTAAGTCATTTTAAGGAAACTCCTACACATATTGAGCTTTGCCTCGGACCCATAGGATGATGTTGATGATATTTTCAATAAATTGGTAACGCAGATATTGCATTTCAGTATTAGAACCATAGAGATATAACTTTTAAGTTGTTATTTACGTCAGTGTACGATAGTCTGTGCTAGACATTCATAAAAATATAGAATGGAATTTGTTCCCAATGAACGTTGTTGTCAGTACAAGAACGTTCTTATTTTGTGTTACTATATGATGATCTCATTTATGCTCTACGGTACGCCTTTGTATTTTGTGAGTAAACGTATTAATTTAAGTTAATCAAAACGATGTCAGCCACGAATTTAGAATACATTTGATTCAATTGTAAATAGGATGTTGAACTCATTTTTGCATGCTTCACTCAATTCACATGAACATGCTCGACTTTAATTTGATATTCCGTATTCGATATCTCAACTGACACTAAGGCTGCTAACAGATTGACTGCATGTTTGTAGTTAATGCGTGTAATCGTAGTCAACTTCATGCATTAACTGTATTAGCATTAGCAGTCGATCTCGGCTGCATGAAGTAGGTTTCGACTGCATGCAGTTAATACGCGACGTCGTTATCGACTTCATGCAATCGAGATCTCGGATAACGTAAAGTTCACGCATTAATTGCATACAGTCGTAGCCGACTTCATGCAGCCGAGATCGACTGCATGCAGTTAACGCGTGAAGTTGATTACGACGTCACGCACTAACTGCAAACATGCAGTCAATCTGACCTAAGACACGTATCGACCGTGACCATGGGACCTGTAAAGGGCCCGAAACGTTGGTTTGTTTGAAAAAACAAATATACACAATTTAAATCCGGAAAAATAGTTTCATTTCCTAAGCCTAAGATACAGTTGAACTTGGTGCAAAACTGAGATACCATTGAAAAGGGAGGGAAACTCCGTAACTTTATTAACAGAGACCTAAAGAGGCAAAGTATATTCATCTAAACTTCGAATAATACACGTGGATAACACCGCCCTCTGAAATTCGTACTCTTTCTATAAAAAAGCTACATGTGATCATGCGCAAAGTTTATAAAAGTATTTTTATTTATTTTGTCGTCAGTATTGACTGGACGTTGAGAACGCCTCATTTTTGGTCTAAGTACTCATAACGTTTTTTTTATTGCCATCAGTACTGGCTGGACATAGTGAATGTTGTTTTGTTATCAACACTAGCTTGACTTTGAGAACGTAACTTTTTTTTATCTATTCGTGTTATTAAATAAAAATATTTTTCTTTATTTTTGTCATCAGTATTGGCTGGACGTAGAGAAAGCAATGTGTCGACAAATAGGGCTATCAATGCTGGAACCCACTCTGCGGTTCTGTGTCAAGTTCTACACACCGGATCCTGCGCGGCTCGAAGAGGAATTCACAAGATACCTTTTCTGCCTGCAAGTGAAGAGGGACTTGGCGCATGGCTGTATACAGTGCAATGAGAACACCGCTGCGCTTATGGCCAGTTACATCGTACAAGGTGAGACTGCCTTCTTGACTCCTGAAAAAAAAATGCCCTGTTAATTACAGTAACTATAGCCTCCAAATTAAGAGTCGATACTACCACAGCTCGAATTCAAATTTTTTTCCTTTACTAATACGGTTCATTTTGCTTGGGTCCAGTGGCAGGGACAATTTATTTTTTTTACAAACGAAATTAAAGCCATTTGAAAAATGTATGTCGTATAGTATACGTGTTCTTTTTAATTCAGTTGATATAAAAGAGAATATTCGTAGTAAAGTACCTATTGAATACAGCGGTTTTCTTGTAAAATTTCGAGGAAGTTTGTGTTTTTTCTACCATGAAAATTTTCAGGAATCGTGTTTTCACATCGTATACTAATGAGTGTATATCCATTAATTCAACACTCACTGTTATGGGGAATCAGCCAAAGCCATTTGAGGTTGTATAGACTCTTAAGTCAACAAGCTTAGACCCAAGTGGCGGGTCCAAAAGGAGAAATATAAATAATTGTTTATTTGTAAAGTGTTTTTTATTGGCGCTAGGGTTGACAAAGTCCGTAAAGCATACGAAATAAAGACGATTCAGTAAATGTAGCATTGTTTTTAATTTATTTGTGAAAATAGATATTCAGTTCTTGGCACTTATATACACCCGTAGGGATTCACCACTTTTATTAATGCAGAGTCGTATCAAGTCGGTCAGAAAAGCTTTATATCAATGAACGTAATAGCGAAAAAGCCGTTGTGCCTTTCGCATCGTTTCGTACGACGCGGCTCGACGCACGTTGGCAACGAATCTGCTTGAGTGCGAATTTCCGATCGCATCTGTACACAGCCGACGACTCCCGAAAGGTCGCGTCGGTGCACGAGCGCCCGCGTCACAGAACGAAGTTAGCGTCCGACACGTGCCAAATATAAGCTCTCGAAAGACCTATCAGGGCTCTAAATATTTGTTGTAAATCGAGTTTTGTCCAAATTTAATGATATTACTATAAAATATTTATTGCTTTCTTATCTAGACGATTCTATTTGCCTTTCTTTGAATCGATTGGCTTGAAAATCGCATTGAAATAAATCAATACAAAAAATCGTTAGATCATATGCACTCGTAAAAATCGAATCGTAATGTGCATCCTTGGTAGTAAGGATCCACAGGATTGCAAGGTGGGTGTAGAGCTGCCTCTTTTTTGTCTAAAAAATATTTTTTACGCCGAAATTTGTAATAAGTATGGAATTATACCTAATTCTGTATCCGCCGCTTCTGCCTACGATCTTGGACAGAAAAAGGTTAAAACCTGGTGCTTTGGGTAAAAACCCTGTTAAAACCCGGGCGAGTTGATTGGTTTTTAACCCACGGCCCAGCTTTTTTTTCCATGAAAGTCGTAGTGCCGCTCAGCAGCTACATTTTGATTGCCTCTCCCGATCGGAAACTGCGTTTTTTCCGAGTCGAGGCGCATAATTGCGATTGACAACTTTGACATTTCTAATCGGAATAATAGTTGAATTAACTAACAAATTAGAAAGATATAGTAGGAATTAGGTTCATCTTCTCGATCAGAAACTTATCTGATTTCGTGACTACCCAAGCGGATCGATTCCGTTTTAAATCAAAATCAGGACGCTGAGCTTTAAATCGCAAAGATCTTAGGGGCACTGCCACTGCGCCCGTCACTTCAACCTGAAACATTAGTTAAATAATCCCATTTGCCCTTAATTTCACCAGCATCCGTACCCTTTAAAACCGGAACGTAGTAATGCACACATTACTGCTTGGCGGCAGAAATAGGCAAGGTAGCAGTACTTCCCTGGACGAACTCTTTCACAAGGAGCTATACTGCTACTGAATCCCGCCTCTGCATTAAACACGATCGCACCAAGCCGATTCTGCGGTAATAAGTATATGTTATCCTCTAAAAATCCCAAATGCATCGAGTTATTGTTATTTCAGAACGTAACTTACATATAAATATAAATTCAGCACCTGCCCGTTCTGTGTGATGCCATCTGGCAACTGAGTCATAAAATATTCCTTACACAGTCAGGTCAGTTCGTCCCTTTGGGAACTCCAGTGTTAGAATGGAGAACAATACTAGACCAAAGCCTATTTTTCAAATGGACTAAGAACAATATTTTGAAGTACTATCAAACAATACGGAAAACATATT